TGAAGCGTAGCAACGCTGAGGGAGAAACTCAGCTTGAGGGAGAAAACCCTAGGTGCAAACAACAGCCACCAAAATAGCGAAGCAAGGGCCAAAACACGCTCAGGAAGCTACGGCGAAACTGTCTGCAGTGGTGCGGTGTCGATCTGACAACGAGAAGGCGGCGCGTGAGGAGCGTGCGGAGGTTTCTGAGGAAGCGACCACCAGGGTTGGGTCGCGCTTCTCGGGGCGAACCTAACCCTTAACTTTGCCTGACAAACGGCGACGGCGGACGGCGGCGACGGCGGCGAAAAGTGGCGGCGACAGCAGTGGCACACTGGGTCTGGCTCTTGATACCATGTTAGAGAACTAACTGAGACATTTTATTCATTCATATATTCCTAACAAGGTTATGGTATTCTATATATATAAAATACCAAAATACAACCCACCTCTTAAGTTGGGTACACACTCACAAAACAACATAAACTTAATACATTTCAACAGTGTACATTAGGATACAGAAGTGGGGTACTGCACTTGATCAGAATAAGGATAGAATTGGGTGCTTAACTAACTGCTAACTTGGCATTAGTGGCCTGGGTTGCGCATAAGTTGTTAGAGAGAGAGAAAGTATAAATAGGTGGTTGTAGGGAAAGTTGACTGGAATTGTCTGAAACTTGGGATAGAATTGGGCTATGTTGAATTTTTCCCTGTTATGATTTTTTTCATCTGCTATTTCTATGCTCTGAATCTCATTGATTCTGGCTGGAACCTCTGTTATTAATACAACTGGAATTGGTTGTTCTATCATAATTTTCTGGTTCCTATCCGTATCTTTGTGATACGTTCCTAGTTCCTGATAATAAAACAAATTTAATTATATGATTAGAAACAAGGATAATTGCAGGCACTGTATAGAAACTAACAATTTTTAAGATGAAGGCATATAAATGGTACTAAAAATGGGCATATTCTTTTTTTTTTTGCCATCCTGTATCAGTTATCCAAAATAAATACGACCATAATATTTGGTTGGAGTGCAGCTCTTTGTTATACTTATACAGATGATTGGACAAGACAAAAGTGAGCTTCATAAGGTGAGGGGGAGGGGCAAGGCTGAAAGCAATGTGTAATTTTGTATAAATAGACTTTTGAACTTCAGTTGTGAGATTAATCAGGGATTTTCCTGCATGTGTTTCACTGTTTCTGATTTTCTAGTAGGAAGAGCATTCTTATGTTTCAGACTCCATTCATGTATCTCATGTTTATATGCATTTACTGTTTACTTTGTAAATTTCAATGTTTCTGATTTTCTAGTGGGCAGAGTATTCCTATAGTTTAGACTCCATTCATGTATCTCATGTTTATATGCATTTACCGTTTCATTGGTAAATTATTGGTTAGGTAGTTCCACTTAATTAACACTGTTAAGAAAGAGCAGACATTGACATTTGACTGAAAGGGTGTCTGAATAAATAACGGATGCAAGTTTATAGTGTTATTGGTGCATTAATTATACATTCATGGTGTATATTCTGTTTCCTATAAATAAAATATTCCATTCTTATAGGCCACTATTATTACAACAAGTACAAAATATATTACTCTGATTTTCAACAAATACTACCCTGTTCCCTTTTAACTATCTTGCAAGGTTTTTATTTAGACATGAATAAATGCAATAAATTTTGTTGATCGTAATAAAATAGTTAAGAAGTTTCCTATTTTATTTACCCTTTTTCATTTCTAGTTCATAATAAAATTGTATTAGTTTTTCCTTTTTCACTTTCATTGCATGTGCAAATAAATAAATTAAAAATTATTAGAGAATTAACTGTATAATTAAAAAAAATATTAATGTTATCTATTTGAATAGAATAGACAAACAGCAACAAAAAATTTCAAAAAACCTGACACGTAAAGGAACATAGAAAGTAATGGCCTAGGTGTTAGTCATCACTAAGTCTATTACTATATATATGGGTGATGTGTCTAACCTATGTGATACAAATTTTACCAAATAAGTTGGATCTTGTTTGTCTTTGAATTCACGTTGTGTTAGAGTCTGTCTAATATTCATGTTGGGTTACCTACAAATATCTCAACACACTTCCTGCTCTAGATATCAAATGTCTAGCATTAATGGTGTGCAAAGGTGTCCGACTTTGCTTAAAGTGAAAAATATGGTTAGAATGTAGTCGCCCTGTAACTTTAGGAATCTTCCTCCCTTGAGCCTACTTTTTATTTTGAGGGTGAACAAGCTCAGTCCATTTTAATATGGTATTAGAATTTAGAGCATTGCCATTCAGTGGGAACTGTCCTGGCACAGTTCCACTGCCAGACTCCTTATTTAAGTATGGAACCAATATGTTTTTAAACATTTTTCCATAATTTCCAGGTTAAATCTTTAACAAACTTTCTGGTAACTTCTATTTCAACCCTAATTTTTAGTTCCTGCTGCCAAGTCCTCCTTCCAGTGATCGGAAATTAATAGACTCCATCTCTATGTTCGTCTTTAAATTCTCCCCCTTAAATCCAACTGGGTAAATAGGTCAGTTAAACAGTTATTTAATTAAATCGTGTTCTTATCACATGATAGCTTATATCGTAAATTTAGCTACGAACTTATTGGAATGTGCTAAAAGAAGCTTATGAGAATTATAAGCCATTTTCGATACTCCAAATAAATTAAGCAGAAGCTTTTCCAGTGGCCACCTAAAGGTGATTGTTGAAACTTGAAATCTATGCCAGTTTGGTTTTAACTGGTCTTGATTTCTGGTGCAATATTATTTAGTATTGAGTACGCTAATCTTAATTTATTTTTTCAATGTCCCAGCTGAAACTGTAGTATACAGAATCTATTATTACATTAATAGATCTGGAAATGGTTGTCTCACTTTGAGGGAACTGAAGCGTGGAAACATAATTGATGCAATGATGCATGCTGATGAAGAAGAAGATATCAACAAGGTTTTGAGGTAGATAAGCTATGATTATCTTTAACCTTACACAATGTCTCTGTTTAGGTGCCAAAACATTGTCATACCAAAATATACTGATTGTTTTTACTTTACCTGATAATTGATTGTAGGTACTTCTCTTATGAGCATTTTTATGTTATATACTGCAAGTTTTGGGAGCTGGATACAGATCATGATTTCCTGATAGACAAAGAGAATCTTATCAGATATGGTAACCATGCGCTTACCTACCGAATTGTTGATAGAATATTTTGTCAGGTTTGTGTAAATTACATGTTTCCTCTGTCTTTGAGATTTAATTGTTTCTAACTTCAGTAACAAACCCAACACCCATTCTCTTTTGAATGCATATATTTAGTTCAGTGTCCATCCACTTTTATTTTTCAAATCATTTATTGAAGATGCAGATTTTGACTTGCTTCAATATTATCTTTCAGATCCCAAGAAAGTTTACCAGTAAGGCTGGGGGAAAGATGGGATATGAAGATTTTGTTTATTTCATACTGGCAGAGGAGGATAAACCGTCTGAACCAAGTCTTGAGTATTGGTATTTGCTTCTCATTCATTATCTATATTTCATTTGTTGGTTCTTTTTTTTAAAGGAGTTTTCAGATTAGTTTCTCATGATGGTGCTTTGCTAGATTAGGCATATGGATAAAATGTGCTTTATTTGATTGGATTTTGAATGGTGCACATCCCTGTGCTGGGATCCATTCTTTATGAAGCTTTATCTGTAGCTGGACGTCTAGAACTTTATGTACATTAATCAAAGACATTGTGCAAAAGAGAACAGTTCTATTTGTGCCAAGCAACCCATGTGCTTGAGACTGTGAATATGTTATTGTAAGTTTTGTCTACTGCATTGTGTAGTCTGATCAAGTGTAGTATCAAATGATTATAGTATACTAGACAGTTGGTAAAGGATGCTTGGCATATCAGAAAATTGGACAGTGGAAACTGAACTATTGAAAATTTGGGCCATATTGTGCAGAACAATTGAAGGAAAATTGATAATGAGATGAACCTCTGCAATTTTCCATCTATCTAAGTCTGGAGTTGGAATATATGATAGGAACATCGAGTAGTATCGAATTCTCATTGGAGTACTAGTGTTTGGTTCTCCCCCTTAATAGCTAGCTAGCTTTTGAAGGTGGGTCCCTCAACTGCCTTGGTACTTATCAATGTAAGGCTGGTTGGTAATGTCTCGGAAAAAGCTGTCTGCAAAGGGTTCACCGAGTGAAGTGTTGTTGAGTGCAAGTTGCCGAAACGTGGGCCCTTAGGTTGGTGCTAGGAACATAGGTACCATGGGGTGCCCAAGCTCCACATTGAGTTGTGTGGAATGCTTGGTGGAGTATTTAAGTGTTCTTTTTCTCCCCATTTAATATCTAGCTTTTAAAGGTCGGTTCCCCAACTGTCTTGGTACTTATCAGTATACTTTTCATCCTTTGCAAAGTGTCGGAGCAAAATGATATACTTTACATTGTAACAGCTCTTTTATATCTTCACCAGAAAGCATGCAAATTGGTAGACAGTGGATATTTTACTTTGTGGTTAACATGTTTTCCAACTTTTTAACCATAATCGTATGGGCTGACTTGAAAATATTACTATTAGGTTCAAGTGCATAGATTTGGATGGAAATGGAGTTCTGACAAGAAATGAACTGCAATTTTTTTATGAAGAGCAATTGCATCGGATGGAGTGCATGGCCCAAGAGCCTGTGCTTTTTGAGGACATATTATGTCAGATAATTGACATGATTAAACCTAAGGTTTGCCTTTCCGTCTTTTGCTGATTGTTTGATCTGTTATTGTAACATTGTTAGGTAACATTTCATTACCTGGAAAAGTGAGTGCAGATCTAGTGAGAAGTTTAATATTTTTTTCCTGGAATAAAGCTTATCCCAAACATTTTGTCCCCCCTTCTCTTTTCCTCTATATCTTTGGTTGGTGTCATGTCAGTGTTGATTTATTATTTTGATGTTTTTTTAATCTGTTGAAAATTTTCGCTCTGCAGGATGAGAGCTTTATAACTCTGCGTGATCTGAAAGGTGGTAAACTTTCAGGAAGTGTTTTCAACATCCTGTTCAATCTCAACAAGTTCATGGCCTTCGAAACTCGTGACCCATTTTTGATCCGTCAGGTGCATGAAATATTTGATAAATTTTGTTGCATTGTTGAGTTGTGTGTGGGCTTGGCTACTGTTAGTGACATCGTTAGTAATTGGTATGCATGTTTTTGTGTGATTAGGAACGTGAGAATCCAACATTGACAGAGTGGGATCGATTTGCTCATAGAGAATACATCAGGCTTTCAATGGAAGAAGACGTAGAAGATGTCTCCAACGGAAGTGCAGAAGTCTGGGATGAATCACTGGAGGCTCCTTTCTAAACATATCTTAGGTAAGTGTTTTTGAAATAAGACTTTTCTTTTGACTTCTGACCATGCTACGTGCTTAGAAGTTTGATTTCTGTTACTTGAAAGGTGAAATCAGGAACTTGAGGTCTTCGTTCAGTGCAATATCTATTCCCTCCTCTCTTTTTTTAACATTCTGAATTTCTCTTACTTTGGGCGTTGTATGTGTGTGTGTGTGTATTAGCACAGGGATGAAAAGAAATTAATGCCCAATAACTGATAGACTGGCCATTATTCAGAGACACTGGGCTCAGGATCAGCTTTAAGTGGGGACTGTGCCAATTTTGCTTCAACTAGTGGGAAATTCCGAAGCTAAGAAAATGTGATTTTGGTGGGCAAGTTCCAAAAATATTCTGATATGCTGGTAGTGATAAAACTTTGGGTCATTATCATGGAAGTTTTGTTGCCTTCTGTGGCTATCCATGCAAAATGAGGACGTTTTCTGAGAAGATTGAATATTATTAACAACAGTGAGTATGTTATTCGGGAGACCCAAGTTGTTAAGGAACATAAGTAGCAATATTTTCTCACCTTTGGAACTTTTAGTTGTTTGCTTCAGTGATCGACCCCCTTTTGCCCCAGATCTGTTGAAGAGTGCATTTGTTTCATCATCTCTGGTTGCCGTCTTTCACTGAATATTTTTGTTAGGCATCGTAGAATTTAACGAGTAATGCTAGACAAATAAAAATGTCACATTTTTTTTTTCTGGATGATGAGATTTATCTTTCAAGATGTATGCAAGGATTATAGTGATTCTTCCGTATACATAATAGTTGACTATTTTTTTCTATTGGGAGGACGGTGGGCTGAAGACGGTGTACGTTTCATCCAATCGCTTTGTACATTGCATATATTTCTTTTGAACCATCCTACTTTTGTCTGGTATTTTTCTTGAAGAAAGACGCAGATATAGTGATCTACACCGTTATTGCTAAATCCAGTTGAAGTTTGAAGGTGACCAAGAGCCCATTTGTATTAGGTTTAGGAGCGAAAAGAAAAGTTGCTTTAGGATTTGAGATTGACTTATGAAAAAATGGAGCCTAAGTAAGAAATCAGTATCTGGAAAATGTTACCGAGACTATTTAAAGGTCAACTAGTGATGGGTTTGGGATTGATCAATTCTACTGGTAATTTATTGACACAGTATAGAGTCAGTATTTTTGGGCTAAGTCTTAATTACTAATCAATTGTTTGACTGGAGAGGTGCAGGCTTTATTGACTCATTTTTTAATCATATTTGAACTTGTATAAGTGCATCTGGCTATACTTATAAATTGAAAATTATCGAAGTATTAATTTGTTAAATAAATGAGAGTTAACATAAAATTGTAGTGCATCCCTTCTCTCTAATCCAGAGTGGTGTTTTTTGGGTGAAGAGTGAAGACCAGTGGGTAGAAAGAGGAAATTGGAGTGGCATAAAGCTATGCAACGTGGTCGCTGATAGTACTCTTCTCTCCAATATCTGGATCGATTGTCCTGTCTTGTACGTTGCACTGTCCGGTAAGTCATACGGAGTCAGCGATTTAACAAAAAAAAAATAATCTTAACCTTTTTTAAGGTGCTCTTTTCTTAATGGCTACATATCCGGAAAAGCTGTGGTCCATATGCTTATCATCATTTTCAATGGACCCCAGCCCAATAACTTTTCTTTACCTTTCTAATACAAAATACATTTCACTATTAACAAAAGAGAAAATTGACCCCAAACCAAGCCATCCGTTCTTCGATTTAGGCAAAAAAAATATTGCCATGGTGGAGGGAACACTCACTTGGTACCCCACAAATCTTCCACTTGTTTAATTCGATCAAAATATCTTTCGCTTTTTTTAAATTGGAATTTAATTTTTGTGGCCGTTAGATCGTTCCAGTTTATAGATTAGATAGAATGCTAAATCCCACCCCCTTTAGTTAGAAAAATTAGTTTCACGAGTATATTCTGGAGATATTTTGTTATTAATATATTCCTTTTGGTATACTTTTATTTTTAGAATGATATACTTTTGTATTGTATAGGTTGTATATAGGATGTCCTCATGTGTTTGGATCTGTTTGGTTTAGAATAAATTTGAAGAAGAGTGAGTAGATGAGTTTGATGGGATGGAAAAAAGATTGTGTTATTTGGATTAAGAAATAGATGTGATTTGAATAGATTTAAGACGAATATTTGTGAAATTTTGTATATAATGTGATGAATATGATAGGTTTAAAAAATATTTTAATAGATAAAATTATATAATTATTATTTTACCTTTGAAAATAAATGTGATAATTTTAATTTTAAATGGAAATGATATTAAAATTGGTATTTATAATTATAAAAAATTAAATTAGGAAGATAAAATTAAAAGAGAACTGTAGAGAAAAAAATTAATTTCATTTTTTAAATACTATGGTGGCGCTATGTTTGACATCCACCAGACAAAATATACCCATTTAAACACTTATAATTGACAACTTAAATTATCTACCAAATTAAAAATCATTTAATAACTTAAATAATAATATTTTAATTATATTTATTTTATTTTACTGTACTTTATTTTAAAATAGGTAATAAAATGACTGTGGACGTATTATTTTCCTTACACCGTGAATTCATTCTCTATCTCGGAATCCAGCACTCAAGTGAGACTAATTTTGACTTTGTGTATAACTTGAGTAGTATTTCCTCACTTACAAATTTCTTCAAAATCACCGAAACAAACAGTAACCCATCCTCACATTAACGCATGAATAACGTGACACCCTGAAATAAACACACTGTTAGATTTGATTGTAAAGAATATATTACAATAACCTTCTTTTGAAGAATTTACGAAAATTATATTTTTATTTTATTTTTTTTAATAATTTAAATCCAATCTAGAACACATATTAAAAATAATATAGAGCTTATCGCATATGAAATTAAAAGAAAAAAAAAGGAAGAAATATAGGAAATGGAATAATAATAATAATAATAATTGGACAGTTTCGTGTCAAATCTAATTAGGAAAAAATACTTGATAACATAAAGTATGATAAAAAAAAGAGTCTGAATGAGTTGGTGTCATACAAGGAATGGGAAAAGAAAAGGTGGTGTGACAGTATAAGTTAGGTTGTGAGCTTGAAATCAAAGTCTAGGTGTGAGCAGCCCATAGAGGTGAAGTCAGCTACTTTACCAAACTTGAGGCTCAATACAAATGTCATGCGAAATTCTGACTATTAAAGTAATTAAGACTTTCGGTTTCCAGGAGGTATATTCTAAGGATAGCCTTTCCTTATGCCAATTCGTTTACTCCCCGTGTTCATATGCAAAGAAAAAAGAAAAAGGCATCAAAGAGAATCCTCCTTTATAAAACCATTAAAATAAGCACTTGCAAAACAACAACAAGATTCAACTTGTATAACAAGAAACCAAATTCGTTTCTCTAATTCAGGCCTAATAGTTATAGTATTGGTTAAAGGGAAGGGTGATAAGAGGTGTAGGCAGAGCGTGAAAGAAACGTAATGTGAGAGAAAGAAAGAGAGAGTTAAGTTGAGAGAGTGAAAAAGTGGTATCCAAAAACGAATATTCCATTTCAATACTCCGCCACATATTGGGTCCCTTTCTTTCCCCATCTTTCGCGCTTCCCCTTTTTTCTATAAAAACAGAGTAACCAAACAAACCCCACAACACAACACAAAAGAGAAAAAGAAAAAACGGAAGAAAGAAGAATGTGCGAAGCGCTGAAGACGCAGTACCAGGTAAACGAGGAGATCGGTCGTGGACGGTTCGGAACCATCTTCCGCTGCTTCCACCCTCTCTCCAACGATCCCTACGCCTGCAAGGTCATCGACAAGTCTCTCCTCGCCGATTCCACCGACCGCGAGTGTCTCCAGAACGAACCAAAATTCATGACCCTTCTCTCTCCTCACCCTAACATCCTTCAAATCTTCGATGTCTTCGAGGACGACGATTATCTCTCCATCGTCATGGACCTCTGTCAGCCCCACACGCTCTTCGACCGCATCGTTAACGGCCCAATCTCCGAGACCCAGGCGGCCGTCCTCATCAAGAGCCTTCTCGAAGGCCTGGCCCACTGCCATCGCATGGGCGTGGCCCACCGCGACATCAAGCCCGACAATGTTCTCTTCGACTCCGCGGATAATCTCAAGCTCGCGGACTTCGGGTCGGCGGAGTGGTTCGGCGACGGGAGCACCATGAGTGGCGTGGTGGGGACGCCGTACTACGTGGCACCGGAGGTTGTGATGGGAAGGGAGTATGATGAGAAAGTTGATGTGTGGAGCTGTGGTGTTATTTTGTATATAATGTTGGCAGGGATTCCCCCTTTCTATGGAGACTCTGCTGCCGAGATCTTTGAGGCTGTGGTTAGGGCTAACCTTCGCTTCCCTTCTAGAATCTTCCGGAATGTCTCCCCCGCCGCCAAGGATCTCCTCAGAAAAATGATCTGTCGAGACCCTTCTAGAAGGTTCTCAGCAGAACAAGCCTTGAGTAAGTTCATCACTTTCTGGGGAACGAGTCTTCGTGTTCGTGTTTCTCGTTAATTTTGGGGATTTTGTGCTGATGGGTTGTTTTCTTGTTTGTAGGACATCCTTGGATCTTGAGTGCTGGTGACACAGCTCAGTTGACTTGAACGTGAGATGAATGCAATGGAGGTAGATATACATATATAGAGAGAGAGAAAGAGAAAGAGAGACACGACCTAAGCTATCTTTACTTGGTTGGAGTAGCTGATTTTGCCCCTTGTCTTTGTTCTCTTCTACTATTACAATAAGATGGTCTACTCGTGGTGGCAGAGGAAGGAACGGAGCAGAGGAAGCTTCTGTAAATTCTGGTGGTTGCAAGTAGATTTTTTCCCTTTTTGTTTTTTTATCATGGAATCTGAGAGAGACTCTCTATGTATGTATGTATGTGAGTCCAGAGAATCTTGTTTTCTTCCACTCTCGATGATTTTCTCTGTATAGAAAGTGAGAAAGTGGGTTATCTCCCTGACTCCCCCACTACACAGTGGATTTTCAAACTGCCTCTGTTGTTCTTGTAAATGCAATAACCATAATAATAATGATAATTTTGAGTGAAAATGTTACTGGCTTCTCCATCTCTTTTCATCTCAACGTATTCATTTCTCTTTTCTTTTGGCCTCATTATCAAATTAAATACAGATTCTGCTATAAAAGAATCAATTCAGAGAGGAAGGAAAGACAGAGGAAGAAGATGAACCTTCAAACGAACATTTTAGTTGTTATTTTATTGATAATTTTAAATTTTATATAGTTCGAACATTAAATTTGACACACCAAGAAGATCTATGATGTGTGTTTCAGATACTCACATGTCAAATTTTGTGTGTACTTTCAGCAACAATTTAGTCTTGCTGAAATTTCAAGCCACAAAAGGAACCAACCTGTCATCAAGGTTTACAGAGTCTTCAGCACGACTAAAGACTTCTTTTCTTTGGAATAAAATATCCTTAATTAGAATTAATTCAACCCATTTTCATAAATTTTAAAATTTCAATTTCCAATTTCAACCTATGCATATTATCATAGCATTAGTATTTATATGTCGTCCTCCTCGTCTTATAATTATTAAAAAATGTTTAAATATTTATTTTGATATACTTTAATTTTTGCAAAATGAATCTTTTAAAAATACAAAATGTTTAATTCAACTGAACCCAGTTACAATCAAATTAAGTTGTTAAATATAAAATATATAAATCCAACTTATTAAATTCGACTATATATTAAATTAAACTCCATTTAATCTCAAGCCTCTGT